ACACACACACACACACACACACACACACACACACACACACACACACAGTTTGCAGCTTAATATGATGTTTGTTTGTTATAATCTTCAGTTCTCAGATCACCACAGAATCATTGTGTTTAACCTTAAAGTTCTTTCAGGCTTCCTCACTGGACCAAAGGTCCATCACACATTGTCCTGTTCATTTTCAAAACTGTTTCTTTCTGATCGGCATTCCTCAGAATCGTTTCTCTAAAATATCCATGTTGCTTTAAAAAACATCTGCTATCTTTCTTAAAATAAAGAGTTCATATCTTACTGTCCATTACAGCATTAGAGACTCATTTATCTTTGAAGAGAGGCAAAAAACCTCATGTTTCAGTGTGTGTGTGTTCGTACGGGTCTTTGAGCCTCTGGTTGAGTCTGGGGAGGCCCATGTAGGCACAGAGCTCCTGGAAAAGGATCTTAACAAAGATCCTGCTGGACGACGTCGTGGTGTCCTCGCTCATCCGGACGCACTCCAGCACCTGGTGGTAGAGAGAGAGAGAGAGAGAGAGAGAGAGAGAGAGAGAGAGAGAGAGAGATGAATTCTGAGGAAAATCAATCAGAAAGAACAACCCGGTTGATGAGGGTTTGTGTGTGTTCGTCCTTACGCTCCAGGGCACAGAGTCTGTGTAGAGCAGGTGAGCGAACAGCCGAGCCACGTTCCTCAGTTTGTTGGTCTCCAGCCGGTGAATGGTTTCGTACTGCTCTGCAAAAATCCCCTCAAAGCTCTCCATGTACTCCTTCTTCAGCAGACAGAACCTCTGAAGACAAAGACAGAGTTACACGTATTTTTTAATATTGTTGCTCTTATTCGTGTTGGTGCATTTTGACGGCATTGTTCCAGAACACCATTTACTTTGATGTAAAATTCACATGAGGACTTAATAAAACCTTGTTTTGGATGTTTTGTGTTGGTGCTCGTTCACATTGGGAAAATAGATATGTACAGAATATTCTAAAAATGGATTATCCACAGTAACGGGGACACTGCATCTGGAAAGAAATTACTGCTGATTTTATTGTTTGATTGAAGTGTAATTTCGTAAAACTATGAGCACCACAAACTTAATTCCATTCACCTCTAATGCGTTGGGGAGGAAGCAAGAATCTCAGAACCAGGACTCATAAAATGAGAACTATGTGATTTGATAGAAACCACGAGAGAGAAAAGATGAAGTGTGTTTAGTCTCACCCCGGCCAGCAGACCAAAGAACTTCTCATAGGTTCTCTGTTGAGCGCAGCAGTCCAGGATCATGTTACAAAGCTCCTTCTGTTCACACAAACAAAACAGATCTTATGAGAACAAAAAACACACATTAAAGATTACAGTTTGATAAACATGTGATATCTGAACTGAGTTATGGTAACAATCATAATGTGCAGTGTGACACGTCTGCTCCTTGATGTTCAGGCTTCTCGACCAGCTGTGATCCGATCGGACGTTCTCTGAAAGCTCGGCGTTAAATGAGGTTAAAGTTCAAATGATGTGAATGCGAGTGCAGCAGCCAGGTGTGAAATCCCAGAGGCGGTGCGAAATCCAGGTTCATCGTTAATTTGAGGGAAACCCACGACTTGAGACGCTCCATTTGGACCGTGTGTGCGATGTGTAGAGAGCAGCTGTGATGACATCACTTATCTCAGACGTCAGTGTCTGTCTCATAACACACACACACACACACACACACACACACACACACACACACACACA